GTCAAGTCCTGGATCACGTTAAGCAGATGGTTAGGACTGCACATGGACAGTTGGACAGTATTCTGTGTAACTTATCATTTATTGTGTATCAATTCTGTGTAACTTATCATTTATTGTGTATCAATTCTGTGTAACTTATCATTTATTGTGTATGGAATCCCTTTTCTGATTTTATTTGTTAGGGTTACGGGTACAAAATCATCAGAAACCCCCGAGCCCACAACTGCCTCCCGGTATTGGTGAATATCATCAGTAATGCCTTTATGAGGACCTATAACTCCACAGAGAGGATCAGGGTGTGGAATGACCCCATCATGCCTGTAAGTACCCATCTGTCCGTTCCTGGTCTACTGCTTATGTCAGGTCATGACATTATTTTAATTTAAACGCATGGTGCCAGAGTCACTGCTCACCAGGAGCGGACTGACCATTTGGAAACTCGGGCACAATGCCCAAGGGCCCGGAGTCAGTAGGGGCCCCATGAGATGCCCCTGGTACCTTTTTCATAGGCTTTTTTGAGTTTGGGCAAGGACACAGGGACCCCATGATCCCCTATTGTCCGGGGGCCCCATGAGTTGTCAGTCCGCCCCTGCTGCTCGCCCCATCGTTCAGTGAGTCGTGGATTTGTAAAAAGCGGCTTCTCCCATAAACGCTCATAAGACTCAATTCAAAAAGTTTTACACAAATATAAGGATCTTTATTTTCAGCCACATGACTGTCATGTTCTACTCCACTGGACATGATCTGATGAGCTGAAAAAAACTGCCCTTTTCTATCTCATTGGACAGAGCAGAAAATAACTGACATTCTCTATCTCATTGGACAGAGCAGAAAATAACTGACATTCTCATCTCATTGGACAGAGCAGAAAATAACTGACATTCTCTATCTCATTGGACAGAGCAGAAAATAACTGACATTCTCTATCTCATTGGACAGAGCAGAAAATAACTGACATTCTCTATCTCATTGGACATAGCAGAAAATAACTGCCATTCTCTATCTCATTGGACAGAGCAGAAAATAACTGACATTCTCTATCTCATTGGACAGAGCAGAAAATAACTGACATAAAAAAACGATCCTTATATTAGTGTGTTAGTATCTGTTCAGAATTGTGCTACATGAGGCTCAATTCACTTTGGGGGGGGGGGGGGGGGGCATTCATTAAAGTGGTTCTTTACCTTCATGCATTCCATGAAATGCATGAACCCTTCAGTGTGCTGCTCCCCACTCATCCCCCCCCCCCCCCCCCCGTACTCACATGAGCCCAATCCAGCAATGTGCGCAAGAGCAAAATCTCTCTCAGGTCTCTGCCTCCTCACTGGCTGAGACAAAGCAGCAGGAGCCATTGGGTCCAGTTGCTGTCAATCACAAACTGTGTGGAGGAAGCACAGGGGGGCGGTCAAGCTGTGGACTGCATGTCTTATGGACATACAGGGCTGGCTCAGGAACAAGCAGACACAAGTGCCCCTATGGGAGTGCTACGCAGGAGGGAGGGGCTAGGCGTGCCGGAGGGGCAGGGGGAGTCCAGGGAAGAGGAGGATCTGGGCTGCTGTTTGCAAAACCACCGTGCAGAGCAGGTAAGTATGACGTGTTTTACGCTTTGAAGCTGTTGCATGTTAATTACGGTGCAGTTTGCTTGCTCCAATTTTTAGCAATGAAAGTTTCTGTCATTTGATCAATGCAACATGGTGGTAAAATGGTGGAAATTGCAATTTATGTCACATAATATGATTGCACGGGTTTATAAGATGCTCAAAGGTCATTTTAGGGCGTGCAAACACAAAATCATTTCACAATGTGAACTATAGATGATGAGGTGCGTCGAGTAAACAGATACCAAATATGTCAAGTGGCGCTCTCTGGTGTTGTGGTATTCGTCTTCCAACAGAAAGCCAACGGTCGGTTTGACAATTGTAAACACACGTATGTCCAGTAATTGCCCCCCACTGCTGCCATTCCATTGCTGCAAGTCCATCCGTGACATTTCCTGGCTACTAAATATTCCACGCTCAACTGTTAGTGGGATTATAACAAAGTGGAAGCAACTGGGAACAACAGCCACTCAGCCACCAAGTGGTAGGCCACGTCACATGACAGGGCGGGGTCAGCGCATGCTGAAGCGCACAGTGGGCAGAAGTCGCCAACTGTCTACAGAGTCAATAGCTAAAGACCTCCAAACTTGGTGTGGCCTTCAGATGAGCCCAACAACAGTGCGTAGAGAGCTTCATGGAATGGGTTTCCATGGCCGAGCAGCTGCATCCAAGCCTTCCATCACCAAGTGCAATGCAAAGTGTCGGATGCCATGGTGTAAAGTACGCCGCCACTGTACTCTAGAGCAGGGGAGGCGTGTTCTCTGGAGTGACCAATCACACTTCTCTGTCTGGCAATCCGATGGACGTGTCTGGGTTTGGCGGTTGCCAGTAGAACAGTACTTGTATGACTGCATTGCACCAAGTGTAAACTTTGGTAAAGGGGGGATTATGGTGTGGGGTTGTTTTTCAGGGGTTGGGCTTGGCCCCCTAGTTCCATTGAAGGGAACTCTTAAGGTGACATTTTGGACAATTTCATACTCCCAACTTTGTGGGAGGAGTTTGGGGATGGCCCCTTCCTGTTCCAACATGACTGCGCACCAGTGCACAAAGCAAGGTCCATAAAGACATGGAGGAGCCAGTTTGGGGTGGAGGAACTTGACTGTCCTGCACAGAGTCCTGACCTCAACCCCATAGAACACCTTTGTGATGAATTAGAGTGGAGACTGCGAGCCAGGCCTCCTCCCCCGACATCAGTGCCTGACCTGACAAATGTGCTTCTGGAAGAATGGTCCAACCTTCCCATAGACACCCTCCTAAACCTTGTGGACGGCCTTCCCAGAAGAGTTGAAGCTGTTATAGCTGCAAAGGGCGGGGCCAACTCAATATTGAACCCTACGGACCAAGACTGGGGGGCCATTGAAGGTCATGTGCGTGAAAGGGCGGGGCCAACTCAATATTGAACCCTACGGACTTAGACTGGGGGGCCATTAAAGGTCATGTGGTGGAAAGGGCAGGGCCAACTCAATATTGAACCCTACGGACTTAGACTGGGGGGCCATTAAAGGTCATGTGGTGGAAAGGGCAGGGCCAACTCAATATTGAACCCTACGGACCAAGACTGGGGGGCCATTGAAGGTCATGTGCGTGAAAGGGCGGAGCCAACTCAATATTGAACCCTATGGACCAAGACTGGGGGGCCATTGAAGGTCATGTGCGTGAAAGGGCGGAGCCAACTCAATATTGAACCCTACGGACTAAGACTGGGGGGCCATTGAAGGTCATGTGCGTGAAAGGGCGGGGCCAACTCAATATTGAACCCTACGGACTGAGACTGGGGGGCCATTAAAGGTCATGTGCGTGATTTGGCAATATAGTGTGTCTTCATTCCTATTCCCTTGACCTTCGTTGTGCAGCTGTGTTCAGCTTTTGCAAGGGAAACAGAAAAATGGCTCCTCTTCCTACCCATGCTATGGGTGAGCTGAATGGCTGGAGACCACAATGAGTAGGACTCACCCCCAGAAATGAGTGGGGCCCCTGACATCAGTAGGAGGAGGAGTCAGACTGTTTTTGTTGGTGCATGGTGGGGCCTCATGTTGAGGATTGCTGCAATGGAAAATAAAGTAAGTATTTATCCAACAGTTGTCCATTTTTATTTGCTTTTTAATAAAAAAAAAAACCATATTTGTCGTTGTAACAATTTTTCTTTCTGTCACCAGAAATTCACGTATCGCAAGTCCTACCTAATGTTCTACATTGGAGTGGTGTTTATGATATTTGCGTCCGGACTTGCCCCCCACTTTGCAATGACCAGCATGCAGGATATGAAGGTTAGTATAGGCTACGGGGCTTAAATACCATCATGTTTTCTGATTTAGATTTAAAATAGACTTCTATTTTAGAAACCGCACCTAAAAAAAGGGAAGCGGATGGTAAAGGACTAAGCACCAGTTCTGCCTGTGGGCTCCATTCAACTGATTTGTCTTTTCCCTCATTACTAACATACTGTACCCTGTGTCTTGCTGTGCACTGTAGCCCTGTGTGAAGGTGGCCATATTGGTAGAGGCAGCGCTTTGCTTCCTCATGTCAGAGTTGCCAACAGATGATTGCATTGCAGGGCCTCAGGTACAGCTTCCTCTGCAACAAGGAGAATAGTGAGCAGCTCAGTAGTGACATCACCAAACCTCACTCATAATATCTTGAAGCTACTAAGCTTGGAAGCAGGGAGATCCTTACATTGCAGGTCCTCAAGTACAGATTCTTCTCCAGCAAGGAGTACAGTGAGCAGCACAGTAGTGATATCATCAAATCTCCTGAGACTACCAAAGTTGGAAGCGGGCAGGTCCTACCACAGCAGCTCCTCAGGTACAGCTTCCTCTCCAGCAAGGAGAAAAGAGAGCAACACATTAGTGACATCACCACATCTCCTTAGGCTACTAGTGTTCAAAGCAGGGAGATCCTTGCACTGCAGGTCCTCAGGTACAACTCCCTCTCCAGCAAGGAGAACAGAGAGCAGAAAAGTAGTGACATCACCACATCTCCAGAGGCTACCAGGCTTGGTAGCAGGGAGGTCCTTGCACTGCAGATCCTCAGGTACAGCTTCCTCTCCACATCTCCCGAGATCACCAGGCTCAGATACTGTGGCTTGATCATCTCTTCATGCTCCTTTGACCCCCTCTCATCAGGATGATGACTAAGGGAAAGTCTCCCCAATGATAGGCAGAAATAAAAAAAAACAGAAAAATCACAACGTTTCTGTGCTAATAAACTCTAAGAAAAAGAAATAAAGCAGCCACCCCAATATTGCAGGCACAGCAACAATAGAGATAGAATAAGTAATAGTGGTGCATCAGATAATTGGTATACTATAGATACAAATAAAATATAGGAGTGCAGGTATAAATATAAATCCCCAAAAAAATTATATTCTCAAAAATATAAAAATATCATTGAAGATGAACATAAATGTAATAGTCACCATCACCTGCACCCCAAAAAATTGCCTCTTACCGGACCTATAGATCATTCAGATTGGTGAAAATTATGAATACGATATAAATAATGCCAAAAAATGTTTAACGTTACTGCCTCTCCAGTTTCTTGAAAATGTATCAATACCAATGAATGAAGTGCCCTCAGGATTTTTATTATGACAGAGGGAAAAATGTTTGGACATGCCATGGTTAGGAAAACCCTTTTTGATATTATTAATATGTTCATTAACTCTAGTTTGAAAAGCCCTAATTGTGCGTCCAATATATTGAAATCCACATGGGCATTGAATTAGGTAAACAACATTTTTAGTAGAACATGTAATAAAACTATTGATTTTGTAGGATTGATGGGTAATGGTAGAAGAAAATTCTTCATTGTTTCTTTTTTTACACACATTGTGTTTTCATAATGTGCACTGTCTACATGGGTGGTAGGCCTTCATATCATGAAACATGAACATTAAAGTGTAACTCTAGCCCAAACATGTAGAGAAGCAGAAGAACTCTGCTATTAAAAAAGTGTTTTTATTGCCATAGGCTTCCATATTGCAGATTTCTCCTCATGTTGTCACTAGGACAAGAAGTGAGGGAAAGTCTCCACCTTAGGGCTACAAAGAGCCAGTAGACTCTGACAGAAATTCAAACCCCTTCAATCTCTGCCCAGACCTGAAAATGCATGGTTTGGCTGAAGGTACACTTTACGTTCTAAATGTGACTTGGTATCAGCCTCCTGCAGTCCCTGTACAGCAGAGGTCAGACTGGGAGAGGAAGAAGCAGCACAAGGAGCCAATCAATTGTATTGAAGTGCTCATGAGCTAACAGAAAGCATGCTGGTATGAGGAGAGAGTGACAGAGAGATGAGCTCCTCAATCTGCTGCTTCTCCTTTTACTGTCCGATTACAGGCTTTGGGAGGGACAAGATCTATAAGTGATACCTAACTGCAGCTAAGGGAAATCAGGCCCCCTTCCCTGCCATACAGGACTGTGTTGTGCTGCAGAGCTGTGAAAATCTCAGAACTGGATGAACAGAAATACAAATAATTTCCCCTCTGTAGTTAGGGCTTTGCCTAGAGTTCAGCCTTGAAAATCATCCACAAGGGATGAGATATACAAGATCCCAGAGCATGCTATGAGCCATGTTCATGTTGATGGATGGAGCGCAGCTGTTTATGAAGTCTGTAGAGTAAGGTCCAGCTTGGTGATCTTTTTCTCTCTGTTGGCCATGATCACACCCATCGATTCTTCTTTCTCCTTCCAGATCAAAGCTCGCTCCCAGCTGCGTATTTCCGGCCTTTTCCCATCCGCATACTGGTTTGGACAAGCCCTGGTGGACGTCGCCCTCTCTTGGCTCCTCCTTTTCCTGATGATCGCCATCCTGTTTGCATTCAGCTATTCCTTCCATCTGTCATTTTTAAATGCGGTGCTGCTTGTGAGTATCATTGCTCAGCTGCACCTCTGAAATCTGAAGTCCCTCTGCTGAGACTCCAATCAGCAAGAAGCAGGGGCGTCCCTAGGGTTGGTGTCACCCTGTGCGGTAACACTTGGTGTCACCACTCCAGAGGTGGGTGGTCCCTGTCATGCACACACAGCCTCGGGTGACACCGGACCCTCTCCATGAGCTCCACGAAAAGGAAAGTTTTGAAGCAAGCGAACGATCCCCGCAAGATGGATCAGATCTGCGGATTGGGGGGCATAATGGATCGGAGTCCGATTCATTATGCTCAATCCGCAGATCCGATCCATCTTGCGGGGATCATCGGCAACAGATCTCTGAGCAACCATCATCTATAGACCTTTCGCTCAACAGTAGATCCCTCTGAGCAACATAAGACACCCCCCAGCAACAATAGACTCCACTCAAAAATAGATACCTTCCAGCATCAGTAGATCCACCAGCACATCCCTTGGCATTAAATACATTCAGTGATGGAGGTGCAAGACTGAAGAGGAGGAGTCAGTACACCAGTGCAAGACTGAAGGGGAGGAGCCGGTGCACCTGTCCAAGACTGAAGGGGAAGAGTCAATACACCTGTGCAAGACTGAAGAGGAGGAGCTGTACACCTGCACCAGACTTAAGGGGAGGAGCCGGTACACCTGTGCAAGACTGAAGGGGAGGAGCTGGTACACCTGCACCAGACTTAAGGGGAGGAGCCGGTACACCTGTGCAAGACTGAAGGGGAGGAGAAGGTACACCTGTGCAAGATGGAAGGGGAGGGGCTGGTACACCTGTGCAAGACTGAAGGGGAGGAGAAGGTACACCTGTGCAAGACTGAAGGGGAAGAGTCAATACACCTGTGCAAGACTGAAGGGGAGGAGCCGTTGTACACCTGCACCAGACTTAAGGGGAGGAGCCGGTACACCTGTGTGCAAGACTGAAGGGGAGGAGCTGGTACACCTGCACCAGACTTAAGGGGAAGGTCGGAGGTTAGATTTTAGGGTGGCCCCAGATTACTCCATGACAATTCTACATTTGTCCAATGTGTGTGGATGAGGAATATATTTGTGATATTAAAGTTCTGTTCTTGATTTGCAGATTGTGGAAGTTTTGGGTTACGGCATGGCCATGGTCCTCTATGTTTACCTGATCACATTGGTGTTCGGGAGGAAGAAGATTCATCATGACCGATGGTCCTTCTTCTTCATCTTGGTAAGTAGGTGACATCGTTTCCAGTGAGTCACTTCAGGGTTCTGGTTTAAGGAGGGCTACCAATCGCAGAGCATTTCCTGTGAGTCACTTTCATAGATTTGTCACGGATCTGCAGACAGCAATATAAACCGTCTGGGATTTGGGTGGTGGAGCTCTGGGTGGAGGTTGGAAATAAAGATTGTTGCAGTGTGGCAACTCTCTACTGCCCAATGGAACACCAACTGGGCCCCAACAAGAGTCACACTTGAGTGCAAGCTCCAAGCTAGAGTCTATCATGACATCCCACATGTTCCAGGCTACAAATCCCCCTTCATCAGGGCTGATATGTATTGTGTAAGGGCGGTGAATGTTGGAGTGTTGCTCTTCACAAGCTGTAGTTACAAGCTCAGATACAGTTGAACCATCTCCCTCCGATCTTCTTCTGGCATCTTCTTCTTCAGCTGTCTCGATTGGCCCGACCAGAATGATGAAGGCGCTGCGCATGTGCATGGGAGTTCATTCATCTGCCTACTAAGACTTGCCAAGAACGTCCAGTGAGAGCTGCTCAGACACACTCAGGAGAAACATTGTCGGCAGGCAGAAGAGGAGCTTTCATTGTAGAAAGGACAGTCATGGGGTGCTTCAATTGTGTTTTGTTTTTAATTCATTAAAGTGTATATTTCCCCAAAAATTTGCGCAAATATCATTTGACATAAAAAAATGCAATTTGCCATTTCATTCTCTAGGGTCTGTGCTTATATATCTATATATAATGTTTGGGAGTTATAAGTAATTTTTTTAGCAAAAAATAGCGATTTCTACTTGTAAACAAAAAGTGCCAGAAAATGCTTGGTCTTCAAGTGGATAGGATCTCCATGTTGGGGTAATTGTGTGGATTTGAGGTTGTACAGTAATAAATGAATAATAAACCATAATAAAAAAACCCGTTGTATATAGGCTAGAGTGAATTAATATCAATATATCAAATAAATTGATAAAATAATCAAATAAATTGACAAATTGATAAATTAATCAATTAATAGCCTACATCACCGCGCCAAACTGACGTGATATAATAAGAATCCAATTCCTGATCTTCAAATATGTGATTAGAGCTGCTATTTTAAACAAACAAAACAGCATATAAATAAATGGAAATACCATAAACAGCGCACTCAAAACTATATATGCTCTTAATTATATATAAATAACTATAAATAAAACAAATAAATACATCAATATATAAAATAAATAAAAATAAATACATCAATATATAAAATAAATAAAAATAAATACATCAATATATAAAATAAATAAAATAAATACATCAATATATAAAATAAATAAAAATAAATACATCAATATATAAAATAAAGAAAAATAAATACATCAATATATATGAAATAAATACATCAATATATAAAATAAATAAAAATAAATACATCAATATAAATAAAATAAAAATAAATACATCAATATATAAAATAAATAAAAATAAATACATCAATATATAAATAAATAAAAATAAATACATCAATATATAAAATAAATAAAAATAAATACATCAATATATAAATAAATAAAAATAAATAATATACAACTAAAATATATTGTAACAAACCTATTTAGGAATATTACAATGTTATATAGGTAGATAAAAATGATATATGTATATGTGTGTGTGTGTATATATATATAATATAAATATGTGTGTGTGTGTTTATCTCATGTATTTAATTTGATATCATTCATGGAGGTTTTCCAAATATTGACTCCAATTTGCTGGTTTATTGTTAGAATTGCGACAGATTGAAACGCCTGATTCTGACGCGGAATGATGTCATTTGCCGTTTTATTTAAAATGTATTACTATTGATATCTTTTTTTTTTTTTTATCACTAGTCAAAATGCTAGGCGGGGGTCAATCACATATTATTCTAATTATTATTATACAGGATTTATATAGCGCCAACAGTTTGCTCAGCGCTTTACGATGACTTTGTGATTTTTCTCACGGCCGACATTCTGGCAGCCAATCACATGGATTTCTCATCTCTTGCAGTCCTCCGTCATCCCGGCAATCCTCCTGTGGGTCGTCATTACCTTTCCAGTGGAAATTTATTTCCTCTACTTGATCTTGGTGCCGCCCAGCAGTCTGATGGCGTTTTTGATCCACCTGGTGAGTGTTGGTTGGCAGGTTTTGATCTCACACGTTGTCACAGTAAATCTTGTCGTATTATCGATATTAACTAAGAAAAAAAAAAAAACAATAAAAAGTGTCCTTTATATGTAGAAACCAGTAAAAAGACATCAGGGGCTGGAATTCCAAGGAAACTGTTTCTCATTACCCACAGCAACCAGTTATCTACCAAAAGTCTGCTTCTAAACGTAAACGTGTGTATGGAAAAAATAAATTGCATAGCTTTTCATCCATCAAAACTGCATGTAAATTCGCTCTGTGCAAATGGGGCAAAATCAAACGTTCTCAGGCTATATCCTCACGAGATCGAATGTATGTATAGGGAACAAATAGCATTATGGACACTAGATGGCAATGAAGAGCATATTTATTTTCTCATGGTAGTCAGCAACAAGTGAGCATGATGACGTCACCATTAAAATGTTACTAAATCCAGGACCCCGCATTCACTATATCCGCTCTCCCAGGACCCCGCATTCACTATATCCGCTCCCCCCGGACCCCGCATTCACTATATCCGCTCTCCCCGGACCCCGCATTCACTATATCCGCTCCCCCCGGACCCCGCATTCACTATATCCGCTCTCCCCGGACCCCGCGTTCACTATATCCGCTCCCCCCGGACCCCACATTCACTATATCCGCTCTCCCCGGACCCCGCGTTCACCATATCCGCTCTCCCGGACCCCGCGTTCACCATATCCGCTCTCCCCGGACCCCGCGTTCACTATATCCGCTCTCCCCGCTCTCCCCCGCGTTCACCATATCCGCTCTCCCCGGACCCCGCGTTCACCATATCCGCTCTCCCCGGACCCCGCGTTCACCATATCCGCTCTCCTCGGACCCCGCGTTCACTATATCCGCTCTCCCCAGACCCCGCATTCACTATATCCATTCCCCCGGACCCCGCATTCACTATATCCTGTCTCCCAGGACCCCGCATTCACTATATCCGCTCTCCCCGGACCCCGCATTCACTATATCCGCTCTCCCCGGACCCCGCATTCACTATATCCGCTCTCCCCGGACCTCGCATTCACTATATCCGCTCTCCCCGGACCCCGCATTCACTATATCCGCTCTCCCCGGACCCCGCATTCACTATATCCGCTCTCCCCGGACCCCGCATTCCCTATATCCGCTCTCCCCCGGACCCCGCATTCACTATATCCCCTCTCCCCGGACCCCGCATTCACTATATCCACTCTCACAGGACCCTGCATTCACTATATCCCCTCTCCCGGTCCCCGCATTCACTATATCCCCTCTCCCCGGACCCCACATTCACTATATCCCCTCTCCCCGGACCCCGCATTCACTATATCCCCTCTCCCCGGACCCCACATTCACTATATCCCCTCTCCCTGGACCCTGCATTCCCTATATCCCCGGACCCCGCATTCACTATATCCGCTCTCCCCGGACCCCGCATTCACTATATCCGCTCCCCGGACCCCCGCATTCACTATATCCGCTCTCCCCGGACCCCGCATTCACTATATCCCCTCTCCCCGGACCCCGCATTCACTATATCCCCTCTCCCCGGACCCCGCATTCACTATATCCCCTCTCCCCGGACCTCGCATTCACTATATCCTCTCTCCCCGGACCCCGCATTCACTATATCCGCTCTCCCCGGACCCCGCATTCACTATATCCGCTCTCCCTGGACCCCGCATTCACTATATCCGCTCTCCCCGGGCCCCGCACTCACTATATCCGCTCTCCCCCGGACCCCGCATTCACTATATCCGCTCTCCCCGGACCCCGCATTCACTATATCCGCTCTCCCCGGACCCCGCATTCACTATATCCGCTCTCCCCGGACCCGGCATTCACTATATCTGCTCTCCCACAGTACACAGAACATGGAAATACAATTATTTCAGTAAATATAAATTGCTAAATACCTTTTCTCATCAGCAGTATATAGCAGTCTTGTGACTTCTATCAGTGTCCAGCAGAGCACTGGCTAAAGCTTGTAGAAGGAGTTTTTATTCTCTTCTAACTGTCCTATGAGGCTACCCCTGAACCTCTGTTTGGACAGTGCTGATTGGCCCTGTGCTGATCACATGCGCCCTCCCAAAGAAAAAAACAACTCTTCAGCAAAACACACTAAGCTGAACATATGCAGAGTGCCTCCTAGGGCTCTGTACCATCAGCAGATGCATTGGGGACAGTAGAAGAAGGGGGAGGATCATAGAAGACAGGATCAAACAGCCTTTTTACACAATGCGGAGGGTTAACCCCTTGGGTTCCACAGTGAATATAACAAGCATGCTTTACTGCATATACAGACTGATTGTACTGTTGTGGGTTTAGTAACACTTGAAGGCTCCCACCGACGCGTTTCATCACAACTGACATCATCCAGGGGGCACTGATATACCACATTATGGCCACTAGATGGCACTGAGGAGCATTCCTAGTTCTTATGACAGCACCATCTAGTGGCCACAATGTGGTATTTCTGCAGTTATGCATTCAAACTGCAGAGAACTGCAGGGTGACAACTCAAAATGTTGGATTTCCCGTCACTTCTTGTTTCAATGACAGTGGCCACCAGGGCACCTAGAGAGGGTGAATTCCCCCCCCCAAGGGGACATATAGCAAGCCTGACAGATGTTGATAACGTACACCATACATAAGTTTTGGCTAGAGATACATTTTATCCAAGGATTCTGATTGGTGGACTGTGGTATGTTGATGGGATTGGAAATGGTTGCATTATACGATGAAATGATATTCTCTTCCTAGGTTCACCTGAAAGAAGATTATTACAGGGTTCAGTTGTCAGTTGCGTACGGCCACCTGGTGATTGTAAGTAAAGAAACACTCCGGTCATAAACACCTTGTGATGCTTTCGGGGAGCCGAAAGCTGTTGTAGATTCGGTTCTTTATTCACGCATCGCTGTAGTGCTTCTCCTCCATACCTGAAACTGCCGGGTATTTACTTCCCTCCCGGTATCCGAAAAGAGGGGCAAGGGAACAAGTGTAAGGTTGTATCTTCCACTGAGGAAGGGGGCATTAAACTCAGCTTGATGCTTTTCCTGGTATGAATTGTGAGGATTTCCACAGAAGCCGGGTTTATGACTCTCTCTGCTTCTTCTGCAGCCGTACGCACAGACTATCGTATTCTGGGGCCTCCTGTGGTTCTTGGAATGGTGGATTGGAACCAGAAGTTTAAAACAAGATCCAGTATTCAGGTGGGTCACAATGGCAATCATTCAACTATTTATATGAATACAATTGTGCATATGACTAGGGTCACAAATATTCAATAGAGAAGATGGGACTTTCAGGGTGCATGAACATGAATACCAAACATTAAAAAGTTATAATTTTTATTTCGTATTTTTGTAAAAAATACAAGAAAGGAAAAAATACAGAAACATAAAAACAATTTCAGTTCTCAGCATACCAACTGAGATTCAAACTTGGTCAGGTAAATGTAGTTACTCCCTACATGTTTCGCCCTCACGGGCTTCTTCAGGGGAGATTTTTTGAAGAAATTTCTACCGCCAAGGCAATCTAAAGGTATACCAAAGGAAAACTGTTAAATTACCAAACAACTTTAATATATCCAATACAAGGTATTTAATCAAATATATATACATATATATGGGACTCAATGGCTCACGCTGGATGTGAAAGCTCACGGAGCTAGGAGAAAATGACCTATAAAAGATCTTAATTGGCCTACACGTCCAAAACAGTTGTAGAGCATATAACGGGCACAGGGGCGGACTGACCATTTGGAAACTCAGGCTCTTCCCGAGGGCCCAGAGTCTGTAGGGGGCCCCATGAGATGTCCCTGGTACCTTTTCCATAGGCTTTTTTGAGTTTGGACAAGGACACAGGGGCCCCATGATCCCCTATTGCCCGGGAGCCCCATGAGTTGTCAGTCCGCCCCTGAACGGGCATCAATTAGATCATGTGGGGCCCGATATAGCCTGCTTGATGGGGTCTCCCTCCATTCAGGACCACCAACCCATACATAGAGGGGACTTTAGGTACCTCATGAGCACAGTAATCCCGCTATCCTGGCCATGAAACAAAAGCTGCTCAGGCCCCATCAGTTCAGCAGCAGGGGCCCGGGATAGAGAGGGAACGTTTTCAGAGTAATCTTCTGTGTTGCAGCTTTGGACAATTAAATTTAAGTTTCGGTGGACTGATGTAAAGAAAAAGAGGCCAGAACTTTAATTGTCGGGGGCATGCAGGATTACTTTGCTTGCTCCTGAAAATGAGTAAAGGGATGGGACCCAAGGAACTTTTATTTAACCACTGGGAGCCACATACCGTAGGATGAATGTGCATGCACCCAAAGGCATTTAAAGAGTCCCCTCTCTGGTTTTCTAAAGTCAACGAGTTGTGAGACATGGAGGACCTCACAGCTTCTTTGTATGACCGGTTTGAAATTTTTCGAGACACCTGGAGACCGTGGCAATACTTTGTCTATATTGACTCTTATCTTCAGGTGCCCTCTGGGCTGATATGAAGGGGCCCTGTCCTGTCTAGTCTTGTTTTGGTTTGCTTGGTTCTCTGCGGCCCCCAGATGGGAGAGCTGACCTGCTCTCTTTTGCTGCTCCTTCCTCCATTGGTTTCTTCCAGATTTCACACTCCCTTTTTCTGCCTTCTGGTTTCTTGTCCAGACTTCCCCCGTCTCTGATTCCTTGTTCCTTGTTCCCCCTTCCCTTTGTTTTCTTTCATTATTTTCCTCCACTCCCTTTTCTTTCTTGTTCCTTTTTTCCTCTCCTTGTGCCCTGCTCCCCTTCCTATTTTGATTCCCCTGAGCATCCATAGTCTTCCTCGTTGGTTTCCCAAGATGGGGGGAGTTCTATATCGGAAATGCTTTATCAGTCTGCTACCTGAGATCTCTGTGTGGGACCTCCTTTCCCTTTTTCTGAGATTTCAGGATGACCTGGTTTCCCATATGGCCCGTGCAGCTGGTTGCTTGTGATTGGACCTTTGCCTTATTAGCCACTCGGGGGCCATACTCTGATCACATAACTGATTTATTATGTTGTTGCCTATCTCGGTTTACACCATAATGCTTCTTGTTTATTTGTTATACTTGGCTCATTTATTGCCATATGTTTTGTAGCCTCTGTGCACTTTGTATTGTATGATTTTTGGCAACCTTACCAAAAAAATGTATAAATAAAGGAATTTAAAAAAAATGAGTCCCCTCTCCACATTCCATCCAGGTCCCCAAACTGATGGGGCCCAGGCCTGGTACAGGAGGGTCGGTTCTACCCCCTGTTGCTTAGTAAAGCAAAGGCCACAGCAAGATTCCAAGAGTGGGTGCCGGTCCCGGTGTGGACTCTGGGCTAGGCAGGCATTTGCCCCTGTGGGCCAGTACTAATCATACATGTTGGGCTGGTGGTCCTGAGTAGAGATTCAGACATCGATTAGAGCAGGACCCACAGTCAGTGACACATACTGGGCATTGGAGATGTGCAAACCTCTGAAAAGTTTGATTAGTTGGGGTTCAGCCAAACTGCAAAAATGTATGCACCAGCAAAGTTCAGAAATTTCAAATCCAACGCCCCTTAGAAGTTGAGAGGAATCTGAACCAAGAAAGATCAGCAAAAGATGACCTGGTGGTCGTGTTAAGGGTGCCCAGGCAATAGCAAGAGTAGAACTGGTTGTGAAGCAACTTTTCGGCCCTTTTTCCCAGAAGCCTTATGAAAAAATCCAGATCACTAAAATAATGCAGATTTGACTCGGGATCTTCACAATCAAAAAAAAATTCAAGTTCATCCAAATTTCAGGATCAACTCTGATGGGCGTTACATAGCTACTTGCTCCCCATTCACACCTGGGATTGCAGCTCCCAGAAAGGAAAGTCTTCCAGCTGCGCTTTCCATTGCAGTTGTGGGATTCAATGATGCACAATGATGATAACTAAAATGGAAGCTGGTGCTTGAAGATGTGAAAAGGTGCGTCACAGCAAACCACGTCCTCGAGGAACACCATTCACTGCGGCACCATGGCACATTTTGCATGGTATACACTTTCTTTTTCTGCAGAAATCCAACCCCACCAAGAAGGAGCCACTATGTTGTGTTTTCCCCCCAGGTCAAAGGTTCCCGGTCCTCTCCTGGATGAAGACATTAGTCTAGGCCTCCAGTGTTGAGTATTCTCTGTGTCATAGTACATTTGTCTTCATTTCATGTACTCTTTGTACTCCATTATTTAATAAACCATTCACATGTAAACCATATTTTTGCACTGCTGACACATTGTAACCTATCTACCCAGGACGTGCCACTGACAATTGCATTGCACTTGTATTGTGTATATGCTTCATATGGTTAGTACATTATAACATGATCAGATAGTATATGTGTCCCTTTTCCTTTTTATATGGGGTATACAGTCAGGTCCATAAATATTGGGACATCGACACAATTCTATCATTTTTGGCTCTATACACCACCACAATGGAGTTGAAATGAAACGAACAAGATGTGCTTTAACTGCAGACTATCAGCTTTAATTTGAGGGTATTTACATCCAAATCAGGTGAACGGTGTAGGAATTACAACAGTTTGCATATATGCCTCCCACTTGTTAAGGGACCAAAAGTAATGGGACAATTGGCTTCTCAGCTGTTCCATGGCCAGGTGTGTGTTAATCCCTCATTATCCCAATTACAACGAGTAGATAAAAGGTCCAGAGTTCATTTCAAGTGTGCTATTTGCATTTGGAATCTGTTGCTGTCAACTCTCAAGATGAGACCCAAAGAGCTGTCACTATCAGTGAAGCCATCTGTGGCTGAAAAAACAAAACAAACCCATCAGAGAGATAGCAAAAACATTAGGCGTGGCCAAAACAACTGTTTGGAACATTCTTAAAAAGAAAGAACGCACCGGTGAGCTCAGCAACACCAAAAGACCCCGAAGACCACGGAAAACAACTGTGGTGGATGACTTAAAAATTCTTTCCCTGGTGAAGAAAACACCCTTCACAACAGTTGACCAGATCAAGAACACTCTCCAGGAGGTAGGTATATGTGTGTCAAAGTCACCAATCAAGAGAAGACTTCACCAGAGTGAATACAGAGGGTTCACCACAAGATGGAAACCATTGGTGAGCCTCAAAAACAGGAAGGCCAGATTAGAGTTTACATCTAAAAAAGCCTTCACAGTTCTGGAACAACATCCTATGGACAGCTTCATTAGGTTTGGCAGTGTCATCCTGGGGTTTCTCACATAGAACAGCAAGTCGTCAGCAAAAGCGGCGACTTTATGTTCCGTGTCTCCTATCTGAATTCCCTTTATATCTCTATTTAGCCGTAGTGTTGACAGAAGTGGTTCTAGTAATACAACATACAACAATGGGGACAGTGGACATCCCTGTCTTGTACCGTTTGACATCTCAATGGGTTCTGACCTCTCACCGTTCACCACAACAACTGCAGAGGGGTATCTATACAACTTTCCTATCCACTCTCTCATTGTGGGCCCGATTCCCATGACTTCCAACGTATCCATCATGAATCTCCAGTTCACTCTATCAAACGCTTTTTCAGCGTCTATAGAGAGTAGAATCACCGGTTCTTTTCCCTTTTTACTTTTTTGGATCAGCATTAATGATCGTAACCCATTATCTCTACCCTCCCCCGGGAACGAAGCCCACCTGGTCCTGATGTATCCATTCCGGCATTAGCTCTTTCAATCTATTTGCCAAGACCTTTGCATATAGCTTAGTGTCAGTGTTTAATAATGAAATAGGTCTATAGTTCGAACACTGTGTAGCATCTTTTCCCTCTTTTTGGATAAGCACCATTTGAGCTTGTAGCGATTCTTTTCTTATTTCCATCTCTCCACCTAATGCATTCATATATTTTCTAAGTTTTGGTACTAAGATTTCACTATATTTTTTATAATATCTCACAGTATAACCATCTGGTCCTGGACTTTTCCCAGACACTGTACCCTTCAGAGCTAATTTTATTTCCTCTTGTGAGATATCTGCATCCAGGGAGTTCATTTGGGCTTCGCTTAATTTTAGTAACCCAGCCTTCTCTAGATATTTCTTTCTCTTTTGATTCTTCTCACTTTCTATGTTTTCAGATTCCCGCAGGGGATTTATATTATACAGATCTCTATAATATTCCATAAAAACTTTGGTGATTTCTCTATTTGAGTGTTTCAGGTTCCCCTTAACATCTTTTATTTTTTCTATATAATTTCTATTTTTCTTTTTCCTTAGGGCCCTCATAAAGTATTTCCCGGTCTTTCTCCCCATCTATATCTCTCACTCAAAACCCTATTATATGCTTTTCTCCTCTCCTCTTCTATTACACCTTCCAATTCTTCTTTCTTTTTTTTTAACTTCAACTCTATTTCCTTTATTATTCTATTCTTATGTTGTTGTTCTAGCATACTTATTTCTTCTAAGAGTCTGCTCATTTTCTCTCTTCTTTCTTTTTTCTTTCTTGCCCCAATCGCTATCAATATTCCTCTTATGTATGCCTTATGAGATTCCCACACTGTAGCTATGGACACATCACCTGTCTCGTTTTCCTGGAAATACCGTTCAATCTCTTCCCCTAGCTATTGAAGGAATATGGAGAATTGTCAAATTTGAAGATTAATCCAACAAAAACGGAGATTCTAAATATAAATATTTAAAAAAATGAAAAAGAAAAAATACAAAAGGAATTTCCCTTTAAATGGAAAGATAGAGATATAAAATACTTAGGAGTAAATCTCACAGCTTCATATAAACACCTTTACAAATTAAACTATATTTCACTGATTAATGAGATTAGAGAGGAGCTAAAAATATTGCAAGAGGGAACTCCGACATTGATAGGTCGTATTAACCTAGTAAAAATGATAATAGTACCAAAAATCATGTATAGATATCAAATGATACCAATTAAACTCCCAGAGACCTTTTTTAAGTTAATTAAGAAACTGATAACAAAATACATATGGAGGAATAAAAAACCAAGATTGTCATATGAGTTGTTGAGTAGGAGGAAAGAAAGAGGTGGTTTAGGGCTTCCAGACTTTAAAAGATACTACAAAGCTGTAATATTGGCAAGAACTATAGATTGGACACAGAACTATAAAAAAAGTTGGGTGAGGATAGAGAATGAACTTAGTGGAACAGATTTGGGCAAGGCGATATGGATACCAACACAGTATAGGGGTTTAAATGATAATGTAAATACATACACATTGAATGTTTTAAAAATTTGGGATAATTTACACAAAAGTTTGAAATGGTCTTTTAATTCAACACTGATTTCACTAAAAAAAACACGGAGTTTTTCCCCCCTGGTAGAGAAGAAATAGGAGGTAGGTGGTTTAAAAAGGAAGAGGTTCAATTAAGAGATATTTTGGTGGGGGATAAAATAGGATCATTTGTGGAATTGAAAAAAAAAGAGGGTGAGATTTTCACTAAATTAGATAAATGGCGGTATTTTCAATTGAGGAGTTTTGTTGGAAGTTTGCCAAAACCTTTAAGGACAAGAGACAACTGGAACTTGTTTGAAAAGGTTTTGGGTACACAAGGTGATGGGAAACACGGGATTGCTAAGGTATATAAAATACTCACAGAACTAGATATAAATACAAAGCCAACATATATAATAAAATGGGAAACTGACATGGGAAGTGTGATAGATGAGGAGAAGCAGAGGAGAATATATAGATTAACCCACGAAAACATTTCTATGAGAGAGGTAGAGATGAACTATAAGTGTTTGACAAGATGGCACATTACACCAACTGTTGAAAATAAGATGTGTAAAGAGAGTTCACCGTGGTGTTGGAGGGGATGTGGTGAAATAGGTACAACATATCACATATGGTGGGGCTGCCCAAAGATTCAGGTATTCTGGAAAACAATAACCCAATTGATAAGAAAAATAACAGAAATAGATATTGGATTAGACCCAGAAGTGTGTATTTTGCATAACATGGACATATCAGTCAATAAATATAAAAAATCAGGGATATGGTGCTACATTAACGCTGCAAAAGCTCTGATACCCAGGTTTTGGAAGCAAATAGAAGCTCCGAGGGTAGAAGACTGGATAGAAGGGGTTGAGCAGATTAAAAAGATGGAAAGGTTGTGCCATGTCCAGGAAGATAGGATGGAGATTTATAATAGGAAATGGGAGAATTGGGAAAAAGCTAAGTTATACATGAAATATAGGAAAGATTAAAGAAAATAATAGGAAAACTGCACTTGCTGAGATAAAATGATGTAGAGAATAGGAAAAGCAGGAAGATGGGATTTGGGTGAGGGTGGAGGAGGGGGGGGGGAAATTTGGAATAAAGTAAATAAAGTAGAAATGTTGGATACTATGGTGTATAGATATATATATAAGTTTGTATATCATGATGTTGAAAAGTATTTAAAATGAAAATCAATAAATATTTAAATTATAAAAAAAAAAAACATCCTATGGACAGATGAGACCGACATCAACTTGTACCAGAGTGATGGGAAGAGAAGAGTATGGAGAAGGAACTGCTCATGGTCCTCAGCATACCACCTCATCAGTGAAGCATGGTGGTGGTAGTGTCATGGCGTGGACATGTATGGCTGCCAGTGGAACTGCTTCTCTTGTATTTATTGATGATGTGACTGCTGACAGAAGCAGCCGGATGAATTGTGAAGTGTTTCGGGAATATTATCTGCTCATATTCAGCCAAATGCTTCACAACTCATTGGACGCTTCACAGTGCAGATGGACAATGACCCAAAGCAGACTGCAAAAGACACCAAAGAAGTGGAATGTTCTGCAATGGCCAATCACCTGACCTGAATCCGATTGAGCATTTCACTTGCTGAAGACAAAACTGAAGGGAAAATGCCCCAAGAACAAGCAGGAACTGAATGCAGTTGCAGTAGAGGCCTGGCAGAGCATCACCAGGGATGAAACCCAGCGTCTGGTGATGTCTACGCGTTCCACACTTCAGGCTGTCATTGACTGCAAAGGATTTGCAACCAAGTATTAAAAAGTGAAAGTTTGATTTATGATTTTTATTCTGTCCCATTACTTTTGGTCCCTTAACAAGTGGGAGGCACATATGCAAACTGTTGTCATTCCTACACCGTTCACCTGATTTGGATGTAAATACCCTCAAATTAAAGCTGACAGTCTGCAGTTAAAGCACATCTTGTTTGTTTCATTTCAAATCCATTGTGGTGGTGTAGAGAGCCAAAAATGTTAGAATTGTGTCGATGACCCAATATTTATGGACCTGACTGTATATGAATGATTGCCAGAACAGCCTATGCAATGGGTCAGACACTTTCCTCTCTCTCCATCCAGGTTTACCAAAAGAAAACATCCTTTTACCCAGAATCCCGAGGAGCTGGAAGATGCCGATGAGGAGGTCCTGGCTGAGAAAGAAAGGGTTAACACCTTGAAAACCACAGATCAGAAGGAGGAGGTAGTATTTTTTTATATTGCTCAATGCAAATCCACTTTGTAACTATACATCACATCACACCCAGGGGTGAATTTACCACAAGACATTTGCCTAGGGTGGCATTTTTCAGGGGGGGCAGCAGTGCCCCTTGGAAGAAGGGAAGGAAGAAGGGTCACATGAGACATGGAGTCCTGGTGGGTTCTGAGAGATGCTGTGGGTTTTATGATGGTGTATGCACAGCCCGACTCTCGTTCCTGGGGATGTCCGGAGCCATGAAGGTGAGTGTCTCTCTCTCCCGCCATGGGGGATGGTGGCTGGTATATGGGGGGCAGTGGTAGTGGAAGGTACGGGTGGAGGGCAGGGGTGTTCTTGGTCAATGTCAGGCTCTTTCTGCAAGGGGGGCGCCAGTTTTTGTGTTGCCCAGGGCAGCACAAAACCTAAATACACAACTGATCACACCATATGAGTGTCCTGCACACTATCTGCAACTTTAATCAGGCTGGCAGTGGGAGGGATTGCTGTGCTGTCTGACCAGTGAGGAGGTGATGAGCAGGAGTGAATGGCGATAGTCAGATGCTGATCATTTCTTTGTCAGATTATACAGAGTACCCTGTCTGTCAGTGCTGTGTTAATGTTAGGGGAAATCTACAAGGACCTTTTTACCCCAAAGGAACCCTCATAACCCTCAAAGTAATTTCCAGGTCCAAGGGATCCCCTGATAAAATGAATTCATCTGTGATCAGTGGGAAGATCATTGGTGTCATGGGTCTACCAAGTGGTGTTGAAGCTGGAACTATGCAGGGACTATCACATGGGATGTCAATCGGTCACACCTCAAGAAGCCCCTGGCCACCTATGGAGGAACCCTAGAGTTCCATGGATTCCTTGGTTGAGAGTGACTGGTTCAACCTGACCTGGAAGTGTAAAAATATTAATAGAAGTTACAGATTTTAGTAACTTTGTAGCAGTCACATGTGACTCTTGTATTGGAGCATTTTGAAAATTTTTATATCAGCTCCAAATGCCTCAATGATCAGATGTCTTTCAAAGTCAAATCACACACTGAATTTGTGTTTTTACTCTTCCAGAGGCCGACCATCCTTGTGGACAGTTTGCGGAAAGAGTTTAAGGAGAAGTCAGGCTTCTGTAGATTCTTCAGGAAGGAGAAGAAGAGAACGGCCATCAGCCACACCTCATTCTGCGTTAAGAAAGGTCAGTTCCCATTTATTTCTGTTTCTTTGGATATAAAGGACATGATCTCTTTTCCAACATTTAACAACACAACACATTTCAGATAAAGTCGGCAATACTAGAGGTTCTTTAAATCTTCCAGATCATTTATTTCCAGTGCAGCAGAAATGGTTACTAGGAATAGAGCAAACAGTTCTCTATAAATATCAATGTATTTAGTTTTTGCCTGTTTTTTTTTTCTTTTAAAAGGTGAAGTTCTGGGACTTCTGGGCCCCAACGGAGCCGGCAAGACCACATCTGTGCTGATTCTGGCGGGGGAGATGAAGCCATCGGCTGGACAGGTGAGAGGTCACAGAGGCACGGAGGACTTTAGAGCTCATGTATGGCGGTGCTGAAGGAACATCTTACTCCACTGTGGTTATGGGGGACCAAGGCAAACAGTTTCTTGGAAAACACTGCACTCCCAAAATGTGATCAATAGAACATCACCAACTATCACAAATACATCTACAGAAATGAAAAAAATTCAAATATCTGAGAACCCCAGTAATTTAAAAACTCCTTTTCAAAACAGTTAATGACCCTACATAGATGGCTGGTTTAACATATGGGATTCACCTAACCACATTTCTGTACAAGTTTTATGATGGGCCCCATTACTGGTTGACCTGGAGCAAACGTACAGCTTGGCAATCTTTTCAGTCACCTTCACTGACTGACCTCTACAGGTGGTGCTAGGCAGTGCAGGAGACCCTCATAGGACTGAAGACTCTGCAGCATTGGGCTACTGTCCCCAGCACAACCCCCTGTGGCCCAACATCACTGTAAAGGAACATCTGGAGATCTACGCTGCCGTCAAGGGCATGAATAAAGAGGACACAGACCGTGCTATCAAACGGTAAGTTAACTCATGCACCAAATCTTCAATATGATGCAACTCGTGAGTTGTCTGACTGCTTCCTCGTCTCTCCTCCATATTGCTTGTCCTTGACAGTCCAACCCACAATGATGTCGTGTCCACCTTTAGGCTTTTAGGTTGTTGGAGAAGACATGGCCTAAAGGAAAATCACACAAACACATACAAACTGCATGCATACTGAGGCCATGTCAGAATGAAACCCAAGACCTCATCACTATGAGGCTACTAAAAGCTCAACTCTGACATAGCTATGACAAGCATCACATTACAGCCATTTTTCCTATGAACCTCTATCACTGCATCTTAATACACCTCTCAGGTTATGAAATCCCAACTAGATTGTTCCTTTCATTATGTCTGCAGGGTGAGTGAAGCTCTGGAGATGAAGGAACATCTCAGTAAACCAGCCAGGAAGTTGTCAGCCGGGGTCTCCAGAAAGGTGAGTTGTTTTCCTGCGTTCTTAGCGTGCTCAATAGAGTAGATGCTGTTGAGAAATTCTGGATATCTGAAGGGGATCTGCAGAGTTGACCAAGGCCATACCCTCACAGGTCCCATCCTTACCACAAACCTCTTGGAGCTACTGGGCCTTTTCCATCTCCACCAATTCTGCCCTCTGAAATGTATCTGGAGCTGTAAAGGCCAGCATAGAGGGAGCTGAGGCATTTATCCTTCCCCAAGTCCAGGAGCTTCTCAATAATTTTATGACAGTTGTTAATGTACATGCCCATAATCTTTATACTACGAACTGAAAGGCTACTGAGTCATCAGTCATTGTCCATAAATGTTTTCTTTGTTTTCATATTTGCTAATATCTGTAAACTTTTTCTATACATGTAATGGAACTGAGATCAGCTATCCTCTCTGTTGGGTTAAGACTTTTGAATACTGAGGAGGTATGGTGAGGTAGACTGGTCAGCTAAGGTTCCAAAGTGGCCGATATTAATTGCAAATGGATGCCAGGTGTGGAATCCACCACATACCTCCTTACTAATTCATATAATCCAACAGACAGAGCAGCACTCATGGGACTTAAAAGGCAAATACACAGTCATGCCATTTTATTTTGGCGTTTCCATGAGGCACGCTATTTGTTATCCTCAGAACCATTACTAATTCATATAGTCACCATAAACATTAAGCATTGGAAATGTTTACAATTTGTATTGTGTAAGCCATCATAGCTGAAGCCAGATTTGTCCTTTGGGGATCTGTTGTTCTTTAGGTGTGTTTTGCCATCAGCATGTTGGGTAATCCCACTATTGTTCTCCTGGATGAACCTTCAACTGGTCTGGATCCAAAAGGACAACAAAGGCTCTGGTGAGTCTTGTCACAAGTTGATGAAGGCGCTAATACGTTAAAGGGGTTGTTGGCTTTTTATTTTCTTAATATAGACCCTGATTCTTATTGTGATGAATTGGAAGGGACTAATGGTATCAGCACTCTTCACTGGACACAGCAAGACCAGGCTTCATCCATGCTGATGTATTTGTTCTCACATAGTCACAAGTGCATTGATTGGTGTTCCAATCCTTCTGATATCAACCCGAGAAGAAGCAATGATATTAGGGCTCCTAACTTTAGATTTTTAGGCACTTATGAATGTGTAGTTTTAGTTCTTCTGAACATCAGCCTGATCTTGTAGCCACGTCTGCCTCCTCCATTTTTAGTTTTGACTTAAATCCTACAACACGTATGTAGAAGTGCCACCCTAGAGGCCAGCAGTTAGATAGGTTCCTTGGGTTTTTTCCTGTAGTCTGTCATGAACCAGGCATATGAACATAGTCAAGATGAGGACACTAACCTTCTTCTGTAGCACTTAAGCACAGTCTTTATAGGGTCCTGTAATGGACTTGGCTTAGTTGAAGCAGATGGAAGGCACAAACTTCATTCTTTGAGTAACTTGAGCAGAGTCCCTTCAGCACAGAACAGGATGGACTAAGCTCTTCAGGATACCAGCTGGTATCCCCTTTTCCTGAACTCTCAGCTGACCCTTAAACAGCAAGGGGTGGGTGGCAGCAACCCACAATCCAAGTCTCTAGGATCTCTCACAAAGTCTGTACTCACTAGCCCTCAGACAAATGGATGCCTCCTTCCAGTGTCAGCCAGTAGTCCCAGGACAGATCCAAAAAAAGACAGTCTATCAGTCAGCTTCCAGGCCTCTCAGCTAGGCCAGCTGAGACCTCATGTACAGCAAGCACATGGCAGGATTGCCTGGGAGGACATCAAGCCCTCCAAGCTGGACTTCTTCTATCCACGATATTACAAGACTGCTCTAGAGTGCTATTTATACCCTTACCCAGCAGCCATTTGTGCAGGGGGCCCATAAGATTGGCTAGGGTAGTATAAATATTCATATTGCCCTTTTACCTTACTCCACACCTATGTTCCAGAATTATATGGGTAACCCTGGAGATACAGAGTGAGAGCAATTAAATCTGAAACCTGTGAGACACATAGCAGAACCTAAACAATCACATGCAGCTGCACTGACTACAGCAAGGTAGAATTAAATTTGCCTTACAGTACACCAGGCTAAATCTATCTACTCCTAGCACCTACCAAGGAGGGTGTCACACCTGAATTATACTTGGAGGTATATATACAAAATATGGCACCTTAGTCTTTTCTTGTGTATTTAAGGAGAGCCATCCGAGCAGCCTTCAAGAACAGGGAAAGGGGTGCCATCCTGACCACACATTATATGGAGGAGGCCGAGGCTGTGTGTGACCGCGTGGCAATCATGGTGTCGGGAAAACTCAGGTGAGAAGGAACAACGCCAGGTGAAACCTTTAAGAATGCACAGAGGAAGTCAGGAAAGTATGGTCTCTAGAACACTGATCCAGTACATCTGTGTCATGGGAGGGCGCCAACCTGATGAACTCAATAAAGTCATGGTAGAGACATGAGGAAGGAAAATCTAATGTAGGATTACTTTGCTCTGATATAATGGAGGTTGGAGATGGAGACCTCTCTGCAGACATGAGTTATTGGCTATATGTTTTATATTTTGGCATCAAGCTCATTTTGGAATGTGTTTAATAAAGGAACCAACACAGAAAAGGTAATACTGGAATATAACAATGTTGTGGTCTATTTGTTGTCATTTACAATCATTATTTTGATGTAAAAGTTGAGCAAACCATTGGTACAGAACATTATATTTGATTGAAACTCAGTTCCTTCAGCCTATTCTTCTTTTGGAATTAAAGTGTTTGTATGGCCACACATTTTATTTCAGTTTTTTTACAAGGAAGGGTTAAAGCTCCTACCTGATTTTTTTTTGTGTGTGTCTATTCTGTTGGGGAGATTTCCTATCAGCTTTGGATTTGGAGATGCAACCAGAAGCGAGAAGCCATCTCCCCATAGTGGGGGGATTCCCCTTCTAGACAGCTGTCACCAAAACATTTGTCCCCATCCAAAGATTTGCCCTCATCTCACAACTCTCCGCTACTTTCTGTAGCAATGACAAGGGTCACCAGGACAAATGAAGGTGGGTACAATGACCACAATAAAAACTCAGTGGAGGGCCAAACTCTTCCCTACTCTATCCAGCAGTAAAGAATACGTTTTGCATATACACCCACACAGTATTTCTCCACCAGGTGTATCGGCTCCATCCAGCATCTGAAGAGTAAATTCGGTAAAGGTTACCTCCTGGAGATCAAACTAAAGGATACTTATCAGGTCGATGTAATCCACCAGGAGGTCCTCCGCCTCTTCCCACAAGCCGCCAAGCAGGACAGGTAAAGCAGCTAATTCTGGGCAAGATTTCAAAGCCTCCAGTAACAATTAATTCTTTTATCCTCATTATTGATAGATTCTTGGGTCCCCCATAATGACGGATCCTCAATATTAACAGATCCCTTAGATACCACCACCAAGCAGACTTGGATGTCTGCCACCAAGCAGGATAGTTAAAGCAGCTCAATCTCTGTAAGATTCCAGGACCTCCAGTAATGATTGATCCTTCTGTCTCCTTTACTGATTGATTCTTGAGTCCCCCATAATGACTGATCCTCAATATTAACAAATCCCTTAGATACCACCACCGAGCAGGCTTAGATGCCAACCACCAAGCAGGACAGGTAAAGCAGCTCAATCTCTGTAAGATTCCAGGACCTCCAGTAATGATTGATCCTTCTGTCTCCTTTACTGATTGATTCTTGGGTCCCCCCATAATGACGGATCCTCAATATTAACAAATCCCTTAGATACCACCACCAGGCAGGCTTAGATGCCAGCCACCAAGCAGGACAGGTAAAGCAGCTCAATCTCTGTAAGATTCCAGGACCTTCAGTAATGATTGATCCTTCTGTCTCCTTTACTGATTGATTCTTGGGTCCCCCCTAATGACTGATCCTCAATATTAACAGATCCCTTAGATGCCACCACCAAGCAGGTTTAGATGCCTGCCACCAAGCAGGACAGGTAAAGCAGCTCATGCTCTGTAAGATTCCAGGACCTCCAGCAGGGGCGGACTGACCATTTGGAAACTCGGGCACTGCCGGAGGCCCGGGGTCAGTAGGGGGCCCCATGAGATGCCCCTGGTACCTTTTTCATAGGCTTGTTTTGAGTTTGGGCAAGGACACAGGGGCCCCATGATCCCTATTGCCTGGGGGCCCCATGAGTTTCAGTCCGCCCCTGACCTCCAGTAATGATTGATCCTTCTGTCTCCTTTACTGATTGATTCTTGGATCCCCCATAATGATTGATCCCTGGTACTGACCAATACCTTGCATGACAAATTTTAGGATCCCTGGTTATGACAAATCAAGAGTGGTATGGGACCTAGGGTTGCCACCTCATCCCTTTAAAACTGAACACATTAATTACAGAGCTTGTGAGGCAAATGTATTGCAGAAAAGGCACCAAGTGAGTTTAATTACCACCTTAATCAGCCATAGAACCTGTGTAATCAATATGTGTTTGGTTTTAAAGGGATGAGGTGGCAACCCTAGTGGGACCCCTAGATCCCAGCAACAACAGGTCACAGCTGATAAGAGATATGTGAAACTCTCCCAGATCCCTTAAATAATAGATCCCCAGGATCCATGAGCAGGTGATCTGTAATTGAGTAAGAAAAGTTCTCCAATTCTCAGACCATATTGTTCTGTTTCAAAAGCCACTTTATGCCCTGACGTGCCTCCTTAGTTCCAATCTTTCTGGACAGTATGGTCACCTGCTGATTAGGCACACAGGTTGAATCCAATGCAATTTTACTTCAGCTGACTGTAGTACAAAGGATGTTTTGTTTTCAGTATTTTGCATTGTATGAAGACAATGATTTTCCTGAGCCCTGTCTATTGTAATATGGGGGGATGTTTAGCGCAGTGGTAGATGCAATTTTTGTACAGGGAGTTCATGTCACACGGACATTATAGTTAAAGGCTTGATAGCCCACTTTATTAAAAGGTAGAGAACAAAACAAAAATCCATCAAGGATTCCCACACAGGGGTTTCAACTTCATTCAGCAAACAAATGAAAAATACCAAGTCACCTGGCTTTCTGGTTAGCAGTACCTCTGCTTGTTATGGTCTTCCACACCACTTGCTATTCAGGCTCTCTCTCTCTGACATAGGTTTCAGAACCTTGCTGTTCAGGCCCACAAGCCTCTTGAGAGGGTTTTCCCAGCATCTCCAGCTGGCACCCACCAGAGATTTTTGTATTGTCTCCAGCCCCCTGGACTCAATGGCCTCCACAGCTTCCCCAGTCCTCAGAGCTGGTCAGACCTTCCCAATCCTTGGGCCCAGAATCCCCCTCACATAGGTTGTAGTCTCTACTATGGACTCGTAACTGTCCTAACAAAGATCTGTTTTCAAACAGCCTCAGCTGCCACTTCCACCACCTATTGCTTCCACAAGCCCATCATTATATGGGCTGTGTGCACATGGGAACACACCCTGCTGGTTGTCCACAACACCCGGACACTGGGTTAAAGATTCCATCATGACTCTTAGGAATCTCCAAACTACAGAGCCCCATCCAGCAATACCAAGATCCGGAGAAAGCTGCAAAAGCAGTTTTCTCCACTCAAAATCTACGCTCTGTAGCACTGCAGTCAGCAGACATGCAAACTCTGTGTCTTGTCCCTGGCCATTTTCATAGTGACAGAGCCTCGCACTGTCACTAACTGAGAAAACCTGGAAGGAATGGGGAGGGTCTAGCTAGGACTGAACTAACCAGCACTGAACAGTAAGGAAGGACAGAGGGAGAAACCAAAATCACATAGTAAGTAGTTATAGTTGCTCAAAATTACCACTAGTTCTCAAAATACAGCAGAACTATAACAACCTGACACAAATCAATACAACACATAAAAATACATGAAAGTGGTGCAGAACACAAATACTGCATGGTTGTGATGGACGACACTTGTTGGGTTCAGTGATTGGACACCTCCATTGAATGTCAGTCTTTACCCTGCAGGTTCTCCTCTTTGTTGGTCTATAAGATCCCTATGGACAATGTCCAGTCTCTGTCTCAGGCCTTCCTACAGTTGGAGAATGGTAAGATTATACAGCTGGTAATAAAGCTGAAGATAAATGTGAAGGATCTAACAGGACGGTACGAAGGTTGGTGATCTTTGTGTGTTTTCTTTACACAGCTAAACAAATCTTTAACTTCGAGGAGTACAGCTTCTCCCAGTCCACCCTCGAGCAGGTAATGGCACTGATATCCAATCAACACTGACAATCATGGGTATAAAATTCCTACTTTGTAGATTAAGTCCCTGTAGCACCCTCCTAGGTAGCTAGGGGAAGCTAGCTCAGACTTTTTTTAGCTAGGAAGGTTGAGTAGCAGCCTGGGCTGAGTCAGCAGGATTATTTAAGGTCAAGGTTGAGAGGCTCTTCATGTCAGTTCCCTGATACCTCCCCCTGCTGTAGAATCTTAAAGAAGAAGCACGGGGGTGAGGAGGGGCTGGCCTGCACAGCTAGAGGACCATGGCCGGTCCCTAAGCAGGAGACTTGGCCAGAGCAGCCTTTAAATGTGTTAGAGCCAACTCAGCAGCAGGAGAGTTCGGGTGGAAGATGGAGTGAGAAGGCTGAGGTGCAGAAGCCTGGGAGGGGGCCCAGTTGGAAAGGAGCCCACCTCCAGGCAGTTGTGCTGGATAGGAGGAAAGCTCAAACTTCATTGGCCTCTAGAGCAAGGACCCCTGTGCAGCAGGGAAGGAGCAAGCTCAGCAGAAGGCCTGAAAGCTGTTACCAACCCAACCAGCTCATAGGAACAAGACTGAGTGAGTAATTCTACACACCCTGGGCCAGTTAAAAAGGAATTGAACACTCTGGTAGAACTCTGGAGAACCTGTTTAGCTCCTTATCCAGGACTGTTCATCATAAAGTAGAAGTTACTGGATCCCCTTGCCCAAGGATTCCTTCAGACAGCTAGATAGAGGAGGATTGTTTTGGGTGGTACACCAGGAGAGGCTGGAGAGCTCCTGAAGAAGAGGTTTTGCTGTGCAAAGATGTGTACATAGTTCCAGGAAGTTGTCCTTCAGCTGCCATTCCCTAAGGAATCTCATACACCCCTTGCCCCATCAAGTTATTTATCCCCTTATAAAATCCCCAAAAAAAAACAACCTGAAGGACTGTTCTCTGTCTTCTGGATGGAAATCTGTGAGGAATGCATGTTGCCTGGCTGTGCAGGACTATAGGGGGACCCAAATCTCTAGTGACTCCTAAGGGGGTAGTGCTACATCCCTACTGGGCGAACAAGTTAGAGGGGGTTCTCCCATGGGTAGATGGCCCAGCTGAAGTCATTTTTTACTAAGAAGTGTTCAGTATATGCTAAGGCAGCATGTGGACAGGCGCCATTTTGTTGTAGCTCTCTATATGTCTGACAAACCAGTATTCAACCCAACCACCACCTGCAAACATTGTGGCCAGTTGGCCAGGGGTTGTCTTTAATAGCTTGGCTGATTTTCCTGGCCATGTTCATGAATCTAAGGTGTGCTAGGAAGGTTCTTAGTCTTTGTTGTTTGATTACTAACAGGTTTTCCTGGAGTTGGCCAAAGAACAGGAGAAGGAAGACTTCCACCTAGATTCCTCATTCCGATGGAAACAACTGAGGAGCGAAGAGATCTAACATTGTCCAGAATGGGATTATTTATCATCATTATTATTATTATTATGTGCCTTGTGTGCGGCTGAACCTTCTGCCTTAGAAGTTGCACCGAGATGGACATTGTGGGAAAAGCGGACATCAAGTCACCTGACCAGCAGAGGAATGCATGGCAATTGTCGGAGGCCTCCTTTAGAATGCCTTATAAAGAAGACTAACCATTATGTGTGCCTGTATACAGTATATACCGACAGATCAGCGAAGCTACGTTACTATGCCAAATAAACTTTCATTTACAATCCTTTTATCAACAAAACTATTTTGTAGCCTTTTGAATCGCGTTTCAGAGGTCTGTTAACAATTACATGTGCATTCATTCCATGCAAATTGTCCAAAAATGAATGTTCTTTAGGATATTTTGTTATCCTAGAGGTGGGATCTCGTGTCCCGTGATGTATTGAAAAAAATTGGAATTTACAGGTACCCTACTCTCTTTCCTACATTCTGGGACACGTCTTCATATTCATAACAATAGCGATGTCCCAAAGCAGAGGCATAAACAGAACCTTCAGGGTCCCGGTGCAAGAAACCATGAAGGGCCCCCATTACCGTGGGACAGGGGCCCTTCCCTCCGAACCTGGAGCCCTTACCTTCGAGCCCAGTGGTAATAGGCCAGGGCCCAGCTGTAAGTGCGACCTTCGTGACCCTGGTAGTTCCGCCACTGGTGTTAGTAGTTTTATTTTATTATTTTACAATATTATTTTTTATTATTTATTAGGAGCCCAATTGGGGGGCTTTGGTGAGATACCAGGGGTCTAAACAGACCCCTGATGGTTCACCTTTGAGGCAGAGAAAGGAGATTGAGGACACAACCCTCAATCTCCTTCTCTGCAGCCTCAGCTTTCCAGAATGAATGGACAGGAATAGCTCTGTAGAGAGATTCCCATTCATTCACAGACTGAAGAGCACAGAGGAGCCAGAGAAGAGCAAAGGAGGGGCCAGAGAAGAGCGAAGGGGGGACTGGAAAAGAGCACGGTTGGGACTGGAGAAGAGCATGGGGGACCGGAGAAGAGCAAAGAGAGGACTGGAGAAGAACATGGTGGGGATTGGAGAAGAACACGGGGGTCTGGAGAAGAGCAAAGGGGGGACCGGAGAAGAGCACGGTGGAGACTGGAGAAGAACATGGAGTACCAGAGAAGATCAAAGGGGGACTGGAGAAAAGCAAGGGGGGCACCAGAGAAGAGCACAAGGGGAACCAGAGAAAAGCAGAGGGTAGGGCGGATCACAGAAATTGCTGGGGAAGAGCATAGAGGGGCCAAGAGGGAGCAGAGGAACCTGGGGACCACAGAAGGAAGCTGAACAGGTGGTGCGGCGGTGGCAGCATGTAGAGGATCCAATGCCCTCCATGTTCCTACTGCAGCCGCTGAATACCTGAGGGAGAGAGAGGAGAAATGGCATCCAGCAGTTTCAGGAGGAACATGGAGGGCATTGGTTCCTCAATATGCCGCCCCTCCTGTCTAGGTGTAGAGGGGAGCCACAAGGGCCACATGGAGCTCTAAACAGACCCCTGATGTTTCACCTTTGAAGCAGAGAAAGGAGATTGAGGACACAGCCCTTAATCTCCTTTGCTGCAGCCTCAGCTTTATAGAATTAATAGACAGGAATAACTCTGTAGAGAGATTCTTGTTAATTCACAGACTGAAGAGCACGGGGGCCGGGGAAGAGCACGGGGGCTAGGAGCAAAGAACAAGGGGGAATGGTGAAGAGCAAAGGGAGGACCAGAGAAATGCAAAGGGGGGACCGGAGAAGAGCAAAAGAGGGACTGGAGAAGAGCACCGGGGGGGACTGTAGAGGAGCACAGGGAGGACCGGAGAAGAGCATGGGAGAAAAGAGCACAAAAATTACTGGGGAAGAGCATAGGGGGGCCAAGAGGATCCAATGTGCTCTATGTTCCTACTGCAGCCGCTGAATACCTGAGGGAGGGAGGGAGAGGAGGGCAAGCAGCATTCAGTGGTTGCAGGAGGAACATAGAGAGCATTGGTTCCTTTATATCATATGCTGCCCCTCCTGTCCAGAAGTAGAAGGGGTGCCACATGGGCCCCATGGAGCATAGGGCCAGGCACAATGTGGGATGACCCCTCTAGTTATGCCCCTGTCCCAAAGCAATGAATTGAGGGGAGGTCACGTGGCAACCAAACACTAACCCCACATAAGTAAGAACCTCACATAGCCTCCTGCAAAACGCCCCAACCAAAGTAAACATCTTTGTTTCTTTCTAGTACTTTTTATTGATTGTTTAATGCAGTTTAACATAAATATACAAAGAAATAGAAAATAAATGCAATTCCAAATTCTCAGCAAGCTCCAGCTAGTGTCTCCAAATATAATACAGAAGAATGTAGATTACTACAACTGCTTTGTATCAGGTACAATTACAGGTCGGGTTTCTGAGAATCGCTCCCCCATCAAATGCCCATGGGAGTGGACTGGTAAATCTAGTAACATGCAAGATCTCCATGTTGAAAAACATAAGACCATGCGGGTTATCATAGAGCCACAACAATATCATGCAGATCACTTAGAGGAATATTGGTAAATGGTAGGAGTGGCTAAACTGAAAAAGATAGCCAAGAGGACCTAATATTTAGAATTTTGGGGGGGGGCAGCCCCTACGTTGGTAGGAAAGTTTTTCTTTGTCCAGTACAGCATTTACTGCATTACACCATTGTGCAAAGGTAGGTGGGTTAGAAGAAAGCTAGGATATCAGTTTGAGTGCCATAAACAGCAGTTGGGTGATTAAAACTTTATGAAGAGGAGTCGACAAATTGTCCGGGATTTTGCCCAAAAGAACCATTTTAGGGTCAGGGGTCACTTCAACCAAGCATAGGTCGGTAAGTGATTGGAATATAGTGGTCCAATATTGAAATAATTCGGGACATCTCCTAAGGTACCAATGTTCACAACCACCTGGTATAATTAGGTGCTATATTTCCTCTCCAGGAAAATAGTCTTTGGGGAGTAAAATACACCCTGTGTATAATAAACAAATTGGGTTAGCTTTTGGGAAGTAGAAAACGATACTTCATCGGAAGAAGCACCTTCAGCAGCACAAACATCCACTTGGTAAAACTTGTTAAAATTATGAACCAAAGGTAGCATCTTTACAAACTTGTGCTACTGAGGCTGATGATGAAGAGCCCAGGAGGTTCCAACAATCTTAGTAGAATGAGTTTTCACCAGAAAAGGTGTAACCTCACTTTTTAGGATTCAAGCTTGAGAAACACATAGCCGGACCCATTGGGAAATGGTAGATTTTGACCCTTCTTTGGGGCCTCCAAAACATTGAGTTGGAGGAGTCTGGAATGAAACAGAGCAAACTAAACGGTCTTGAAGGAAGATACAATTTGTCCGAAGGGAGGATCACTTTTCGGAATGGTCTTGAAAGAGGTAACCATTTGTCTTAAGGGAGGATCACTTTTCGGAATGGTCTTGAAAGAGGTGACCATTTTTCTTAAGGGAGGATCACTTTTCGGAATGGTCTTGAAGGGGGCTACCATTTGTCTTAAGGGAGGATCACTTTTCGGAATGGTCTTGAAGGAGACTACCATTTGTCTGAAGGAACGATCACTTTTTGGAATGGTCTTGAAAGAGGTGACGATTTGTCTTAAGGGAGGATCACTTTTCGGAATGGTCTTGAAAGAGGTGACCATTTGTCTTAAGGAAGGATCACTTTTCAGAATGGTCTTGAAGGAGGCTACCATTTGTCTTAAGGGAGGATCACTTTTCGGAATGGTCTTGAAGGAGGCTACCATTTGTCTTAAGGGAGGATCACTTTTCGGAATGGTCTTGAAGGAGGCTACCATTTGTCTTAAGGGAGGATCACTTTTCGGAATGGTCTTGAAGGAGGCTACCATTTGTCTTAAGGGAGGATCACTTTTCGGAATGGTCTTGAAGGAGGCTACCATTTGTCTTAAGGGAGGATCACTTTTCAGAATGGTCTTGAAGGAGGCTACCATTTGTCTTAATGGAGGATCACTTTTCGGAATGGTCTTGAAGGAGGCTACCATTTGTCTGAAGGGAGGATCACTTTTCAGAATGGTTTCGAAGGAGCCTACTATTTTCCCCAAAACCCTCATGCAAACATGAATTGAGGAATATGTCTTTAGAAAGTTACCCAAACAGTCACATAAAGACATTTGTCTGAAGAGAGGATCACTTTTACTTAGAAAATTTCCAGAATGACCTCCAAATATTCCATCCTCTTGGCTGGAACTAAGGCAGACTCTAAACCCCCTGATGACATCACATATGACGAAAGGTGTGCGTGCTGAGTAGGAGCCATCTTTGATTCTGGCAGTCTGGATATTGAGATATACACAACACTGTGGATGTTACCAGCTTTCATAAGTGCACTTTTATTCAATAACAGATTTCCCTATAGAATTTTACTCTATGGGAAGTGTTTTTGTGTTTTACATTTCTGCATGAAATACGGATCCCTCTGAGCTGGGGATGATCTTGGGGTCTTCTGTCCTACTTACCTTAGTAGTAGGAGATTGGAGAAATTGTGTGCTGGGAGAAGCCTGTTGTTTAGAGCTCATTATAACCACAATCTTCTGGTATGACTTTTACACACATGAAGCACTATGGTCCATGTTCTGAAGATCCTGTCACTGGTCCCAGGAAGAGGACTGTCTATATGAGTGTGTTACTTGTAATGTCCACCATCAAGCTCTTCATGTATGGACTTTGTTTTCAGTCTGTTTTTTTTTGCGTGTGCCACCTCTGTAACCCCTTAAAGACCCGCTAATGTACATATACTGTATGTATTCCCCATGCAAGGCCGAGGTAACCCACACGAGGATGCACTGTGTTCCGTGTATCCCCATGCAGGCAGTCCTGTTGATGTCTTTTAGGATGCAGCGGCTGCAAGGAAAGAGGTGCTGCTCCCCACCTGACATCCATGCAGATGCCTGTCCCTGATCTCACACTGTCTGCATTCAGGGCTGTGCACCTACACGGAT